TCCACTTTTATTTATATAAGCATAAAAAAGTAAATATTCATTATTGATCTCCACCCACACCCCGTTTCCATGGGTTCTAGGATGATGATCAGACGATCCCTTCAGAGACAAGCGCTGCCGTGGGCTGTTATCTCCATCCCTGTCAATATTTCCTCCTTGGCCTCGTTCCCACTCAAGCAGCCACCATGGACACTGTGGTAGAAATGGCACACACCCACAACTTGAACATTTTGTCATCACATTATATCCTGTCATCAGTGAATAAGCCTCGAAGGGGATTTTTTTTTATGGTGGTTAAACAAATTCACACCGATGAGTGGTGAACAAGTAAAATTAACACACATGATTAGCCAAAGGCGGGTTTTGCAAGCCTCTTTGTTAGAGCCGTTGTACCAGGTAACAAGAAAAGAGCATGATTATTCTCGGTGCTCAGCTGAATGTTGGAATACTTAGCAACTGGCTTTAATCACTGTACATGTCTTTCAGTAGAGCCCAGACATACAGTACAGCATATTGGGGATGTCTCACTGTAAAAATAGAAATAAGTTCCTTTTTTCTGCATGAACATTAACGACATGAAACTATGATCAGAAACATGAACATTGTTTTACTCATGGTAATAAATATTAAATGAAACATTTTGCAAATGTGCCATTTATTTTCTTTATATGGTGCACATGTGCAACTTTAAAGGCTTTAAAGGCACATTTGATCCACTTGACTACTATAACCCTTTGTCTTTCATTGCTTTGCATTTACAATATTATGTTTGCATCGTCACCATTCTTGGCCCAGACAAATGTGACAGTTAGGATAAACAAGACTGACACAATGATATTGGCAGAATACAAATAATGAAAAAGGCAATTTGACAAGTAGCCTTTTTTAAAAATGGCAACATGCAATATATGACAATAGTTCAGTGCTACAGAGAATATGGTTATGGTTCATGCCCACAGTAACCTGGAGGACAATTATTGTGATGCTCTGAGCAGTGTTGGGCAATAGAAGGTCCTGTAATACCTGAACTGCTCTGCAGAAAACATTACTTTTCTCCCCTAATTTAGGACCTTACATCACAGTCCCAACAACTATCCCAGTCAGCCAGCTATTCTATACATTCAGTGTCAGTAAAATTGTCTGAAGGTTGTAAGCTATGCTGCCTGGCCACTTTAATATTCACACCTGTAGAGCTGTATGCAATTCAATGCAGCTCTTCCGCCTTGACATCTGTGTCTATGAAGCTCAAAATGTTTAAGATTTTGGTGAAATTGTCTTTAAATGTATACATTCAATTATCTGTTTATTATTGAGGTCACATTTGAAGATGGTGTTGTACTGGACTACATTATATTCAGAGGTGTCTCTATATTTTTGTTCTCCCCAGCTACATAGATGAGAGGGTCAGAATATTAGGAACGCCTCTGAACATAACATAGGCCAGGCAGTGTATATGGTAGTAACATGTTAGAAGAAAAGGAGAGTCTCCGCCAAAAACAGAAGCAGGAGGGTATACCGGTGTACTGCACTTTTACATTGCTGGCAGGACTGAGCACCATGCAGCAAGGAGCACTCCAGATGATCAGTGACAACATCTTGGATATTCTGTGGAACATTACTGAGGTTTATTAAGTATAATGTACAAGGTAGGCAGTAAGATTCTTTAATTAAATTTGTACAGCAGAAAAATGAAAACATACCAAACAAGAAATCTAAAAGATGAAGTATCACAAGTTTCGCAAAAGGCTCGTTTACCCTGGAAGATGTTCTCTCTCTACACAAGGCTTTACTTTGGTGATAACACCTTGTGCAATGAGTGCTGCTTCTCCTTGTGGAAAATGTGTGATTTCTGATTTTGGGCTATACAGATAAAAGTTGACTTGTGCAAGTTGCATCTTCCCAGATGATACCATCTTTGTAATTTTTGTTGTAGGTCTTTTGCCTTCTTGTGAATGCACAAATATCAATTCTTCATAACCCTGAGAGAAATCCAATTACTAAAGCTCTTGTTACAATTGCGTTCATTTTAGTTCTGTGCAGATTTACATGTTTCCTTTCAGGGAATATTGACTGAAGATGGAGCAGTTATAGCACTTACACCTAACTGTCCCCCATTCTAAACAAAAATGTTTCAAATTGGATCTTGCATTGGTGCTTTATGACAGATTGGGAAAGAAAACACCAGACATACATATTTGACTGATCCTTTGTACTTTGTGTAAGTAAAGCATGGTTTGGTGTCCTTTGAGGAATCCCTTTCATTCTTTTAATCCTAAAAACCCCAAGTGGGCGGAGGGGCAGAGTTGACTACTCTTTGCAGAGACCTTTTGCTGCTGCAGTGCAGCCCTGGTACCAGCAGCTTCCTTTTCACAGTCGCTATGATGCTGGGTGACCAGGAGAGGTCCTCAGATACACGGACTCCCGTTCATCTGAGGCCAAGTAAAGTTAAAAACAAGTGTTTATTCGTTGCACAGAATTGTTGGTTGTTATTGAATATAAACGAAAACAATTCAAAATATGTTTAGTTTCCATTTGAATAAACTGTTAATGTGCGGGCCTTACTTTGCTTATCAACGCCACTCTCGTCACCTTACCTCTATTCTGGGGGAAAGGTCAAAGATTTTTTTATTGTCAATTCACTATATGTGCAGAACATACAGAAAAATCGAAATACTGTTTCTCCCTCACCTAATGTAGAATGTCCGTAACATTTAACAAACTAAAATAGAATAAAAGTAGAATAAACACAATAAATTGAATGAATACTGAAGGATAAACTAATGGTACAACCCAATAGGCTACGAAGAATCTCAAAGCCATGTGCAAACTGGGGGAAATTACTTCGGTTGACGAGAATGGAATTAAAGGCTTTCCAATTAAACTCGAATAAAAATTTGTGCTATTCTCAAATGTGCTGTTCTAGCATTAGGCTATTGTCTTATTATAAAAGTACAACGCTTCCCTCAAATAGTCAGAAGCTAGAGGTTAAGTGTGGCGCTGTCTTCAAGATTCCAAATGTTTATTGTCATATACACAGTATGGAAACGTGTTTCCCTGCACAATGAATCTTTGTTCAGATTTGGTGAAAGAGTGCCTAAACGTTTATAGAACATTTATCTTTCACTTTTAGGCTTAGAAAACAGTTTGACTCTAAACCCGTATTTTGAGGACCTAGAAATAATTTATTTTGTAGCCAGTGCATAATACTAATAATAATAATGATAATGATAATGATAATACACTGAGCCCAACCTTAACGAATCTCGCTCTCTTCGTACAGTGCGTGTCAATAGGAAAAGTGCGTTCGTTCACATTGTCTAATTTTTGTGTTCCATAGGTTTAGCACTAACTCATTGGGCTTACAAAAACGCACAAGATAATGACATTTTAGAGACAAGTGAGCGACCAATATTCTCCTCGTATTTAATTAACACTAAATAATGTACTGTCAAATAGTCCATTAGGTCTGTTTGAGCTCAAAAATTTAATTCAAAATGCACAGCCTAAGTTTACTGTAACATTATTAACGTGCCACCGTAAAATCGAACAGTGCATATACAACGCACTACACCACAGTTCAAAACTGCAGCCTCCTTATCTGCAAGATGAGGGGCAACCTGACAACATGTCTGTGGCAAACAAAGTCCTTGAATGTTTTTATCAGCGGTCACTGAATCTTCGCAGGTGCTGACAGAGTCGTCTGTTGCATTTTTCACAATCAGAGTCTTCCTCGGCCAATTCCTTTGCCAGTTCTCGGGCAGGACTGAGACTCTGAGAACGAAGCGGGTTAACAGCTGCTTACTGCGGATTTGCTGCTGAAAGAAAGGAGCGTTTCACATTTATTGCAGTATGAACTTTGTACCTCTTTCTGCATCTCGGGCACACTCTGCCCCACACTGTCCTCACCAGGGCTTCTCTCAGAGCCGGACTGCCCCACAAGTACACCGACGGTGTGCACACAGCGTTGAAACGAGCCATGATGGCGAAAACATTAGTGGCCTCGTTTCTAAATGTCACCCCTCGTCCTGCCAACAGTCTGAGGGCGATATTAACAAAAGATGGGGTCCACAACACCAAGAAGATTATGACAACAAATATTATGATCCTCAGTGATTCCTTCTTCCTGTCTTTCTCCGCGCTGGGAGGGTCTCTTTCAATTTGGAATCTGGCAATAAGGTACAGTTTAATAGTCATGACCACTTTGATTAGAACAATTATTTGTACGCTTATATTGCCTAAAGCATATGTTTGTATTGCTTTGGAAAGCGGCAAAAAAGTTTGAATGGTCGTCATAAAGTAGACATGAAACCAACAATAGATGTTTACACAAATAACCACTCTCCGGGTGATAAAGCGCGCGTAAAAGAACGGATGACAAATGACAGCATATCGGTCAAACTGTGCAAATAGAAACGTCAGCAAGTTTACCCCAAGAAGACTAGGTAACATATTGAACGTTCCATTTCTTGAAGGAAATCCCTCACTAACATCAAATATGCCGATATAATACCCTGAAACCCCGACCAGCGTGTCGGTGATACTGGTGTTCAGCATGAAAATAAACCTGTTTTGGAGGCGAAGCGCTTTTGTAGCCAGGATGGCTATCACTACAGGTCCGGCCACAAGAACAACAGTTGTTGCGAATAAAATCTGAAAAATAAAGATGAAGTAGTCCACAGGAGCGTCGAACGTCACCGACAGAGGCACTCCTAAAGAGTCCGTGATGTTGGAGAGGAGCGTCATTCCAGTAATGCAGCTTTAAAGTGTCCTGTCCCTTTATAGCCGGTTGATAAGCCACTGCTCAGGTAATCACGAATTCTTTCCCCATGAGGCATCTCTCTTTTCTTATCAGTGATCGGGGGTTATATTGGTCCAACAGCTTGAAGAACCTTTTTTAATTTTCTTTTTTCTTTCATTGAGCTATAAAGGCTAGAATTTGCATTTCAGTTTTCCTTTTTTAAACATAAACATAGAAGATTGCATCCCTGACGTATTCATACGGGAGATGATCCTTCTGCCTTCTTCAAGACTTGCTCCATAAGTAAACGATTGTGCTGTAAATGTTACAGCTGCAAGACTTGACTTTAAAAATGTTTTTAAAATGTGCTCAAGTAACATGAAATATTTTGCTGTGGCTGCACAACTGAAAAGGAAACACTTATGGCCTGATTTGCTAAACGTTTGTTAAAACGTGTGCGAACTTGATAATGCCTGCAAAATACTGTGCAAACTGATCTACTAACAGGCTGCGCTGAGGATTGCTTCTGTCAAAGGTGGAATATAGTGCGTCTTGTCCATTCTGCATATTTGCCTTAATCTGCAGTATGAGGTGTTTCTACTGAGAATACAGGGAGGTGATAATGCATATACATTAATTTAGCTCGCACAGTGTGATTTATTAAGCTTTTGGCACATGCGGATTTAATACCCTTGAAAGCAAGGTGCAACGAAGCGCTCTGCGTTTACGCACAGATGTCTGCTGTTGCTGTGGTGGTGGGGAGACACAGACACAAGAAAAGAATACAATGAGAATGCCGATATTTACATCTTTGGAGTGAGAGAGGCAAAAATAATGTAATATTTTCTTTTCTTTATAATATTCAAATTTCTGCAGCTCAGTCAAATGTTTATTTGCCTCTTCAACTAACACCTCTTATTCTGTTAGATCAAATTTCATTCTGCGCTTGCTGTCACTTTGTTTTCTCCTGCAAAACATGCTCCACCCAAAGGTGCAATGAACACGCAGTTTAGTTTTTTTTTTTTTTTGCAGATCTTAGTAAATCGGGCCCTTAGTGTTAGGCGTCCTATCCTGCATTAGCAGTGTGCCTCACTTCCCTTTTCTGTCAGTGTACAGTTCTATTTTCTATGGGACCTTTCATTCTTAACATTTGAAGGCAATAATTGTGGCCCACGCAGTGCTTATCTGATAGTGTCTTGTTGATCTGTTTTTTTTTTCTGTGTAAGGATGCAACTGACAAGGACTCATACAGTCAAACTCCGGTGCACTGATGAAGGAAACCCTCAGTTGAACCCATCCAGAGTGAGAATCGTCTTGGAAGGGATTGTGGTGATGGATGAGCTCGCCAACCTTCCTCAGGCCTTCTGCGTCCTTTTTGGACTGATTTACGCCCTGCACCTGGATTATCCCAAGTACATGAAAAACACTTTCTACTTTGTCCAACAGGTGATGCTCAACCTGGGTAAAAGTCAGCTGGCACCAAAAAATCAGACTCTGAAAAACCAGCTTGCAGTATGAAATGGGTTTTGGGTTGTCATGCTACTGTTCTGGATATCAGGTGCTTAGTTTTCAATGTTGCACTTTTAGAAAAACATGTTTGCACTAGTTGTACTTCCTGTCTTATGGTATTGGCCCTGATATTGTGGTTTGATCCCATTCTGATTCACAGGTCATTTGTTCAATACATGTTAGGACTTGAGGGGTATTACTGTAATATCTGTACTGTAATAGTTTTAATACTGTAATATTAAAACTTGAAAGTTTTAAGGCAAGGAATTATGTACCTTGACTTTAATGTTGTATTATTAAGCTGAAACTTCATAAGTCAAATTTTGTGATTTTCATTTCCTGTTTATCAAAGTTTTCATGTGTAACATCTTGAAGACAGAAATAAAACATTATACACATGTTGAAGATAACTTGGCTAAATAGGCAAGGAAATTAATATGGCAAAATTTGAATCAGATCAACTTGGAATTTATTGTAATGAGCTTAACATATTAGGTGCAATAATTATGCAAAGCAGTTGATATTGTGAAATATGTTAAGTTAAATCAACAAAGTAATAAGGATAAACTAAATGGTACAACCTAATAGGATATGAAGAAACTCAAAGCAATGTGCAAACTGGGAAATTTAATTGACAATGCAATTAAAGGCTTTCATAACGATCAAAATAAACATTTGGGCTATTACTCAAATGTGCTGTTCTAGCATTAGGTTATTGCCTTATTATAAAAGTACAACGACCACGCTTCCCTGGATTAGTCAGACGCATATACAACGCACTACACCACAGTTCAAAACAGCAGCCTCCTTATCTGCAAGATGAGGGGCAACCTGACAACATGTCTGTGGCAAACAAAGTCCTTGAATGTTTTTATCAGCGGTCACTGAATCTTCGCAGGTGCTGACAGAGTCGTCTGTTGCATTTTTCACAATCAGAGTCTTCCTCGGCCAATTCCTTTGCCAGTTCTCGGGCAGGACTGAGACTCTGAGAACGAAGCGGGTTAACAGCTGCTTACTGCGGATTTGCTGCTGAAAGAAAGGAGCGTTTCACATTTATTGCAGTATGAACTTTGTACCTCTTTCTGCATCTCGGGCACACTCTGCCCCACACTGTCCTCACCAGGGCTTCTCTCAGAGCCGGACTGCCCCACAAGTACACCGACGGTGTGCACACAGCGTTGAAACGAGCCATGATGGCGAAAACATTAGTGGCCTCGTTTCTAAATGTCACCCCTCGTCCTGCCAACAGTCTGAGGGCGATATTAACAAAAGATGGGGTCCACAACACCAAGAAGATTATGACAACAAATATTATGATCCTCAGTGATTCCTTCTTCCTGTCTTTCTCCGCGCTGGGAGGGTCTCTTTCAATTTGGAATCTGGCAATAAGGTACAGTTTAATAGTCATGACCACTTTGATTAGAACAATTATTTGTACGCTTATATTGCCTAAAGCATATGTTTGTATTGCTTTGGAAAGCGGCAAAAAAGTTTGAATGGTCGTCATAAAGTAGACATGAAACCAACAATAGATGTTTACACAAATAACCACTCTCCGGGTGATAAAGCGCGCGTAAAAGAACGGATGACAAATGACAGCATATCGGTCAAACTGTGCAAATAGAAACGTCAGCAAGTTTACCCCAAGAAGACTAGGTAACATATTGAACGTTCCATTTCTTGAAGGAAATCCCTCACTAACATCAAATATGCCGATATAATACCCTGAAACCCCGACCAGCGTGTCGGTGATACTGGTGTTCAGCATGAAAATAAACCTGTTTTGGAGGCGAAGCGCTTTTGTAGCCAGGATGGCTATCACTACAGGTCCGGCCACAAGAACAACAGTTGTTGCGAATAAAATCTGAAAAATAAAGATGAAGTAGTCCACAGGAGCGTCGAACGTCACCGACAGAGGCACTCCTAAAGAGTCCGTGATGTTGGAGAGGAGCGTCATTCCAGTAATGCAGCTTTAAAGTGTCCTGTCCCTTTATAGCCGGTTGATAAGCCACTGCTCAGGTAATCACGAATTCTTTCCCCATGAGGCATCTCTCTTTTCTTATCAGTGATCGGGGGTTATATTGGTCCAACAGCTTGAAGAACCTTTTTTAATTTTCTTTTTTCTTTCATTGAGCTATAAAGGCTAGAATTTGCATTTCAGTTTTCCTTTTTTAAACATAAACATGGAAGATTGCATCCCTGACGTATTCATACTACGTGTCCTCCAAAAAGTATCTGTCGCGGGAAAGGCCTGTGTTTGTGCTGTTTCCTTCTTTTGCTCTTAATTGTCAGCAACGTACTTAAGTCTTGTATCCTGCTACTAGACTACTAATTCAATTTTATATAAGCCTTTTATAATAATTAAACTATAAAAATTTGTTCTGACAAATTAAACCAAGCTGTGAAGTAGCAATGACCGAGCCATATATTAAATTTTAAATCCAGGTAAGTTTACAAGCTGGTGGAGATGCAGCGGCTGAAAGGAACGATCTTAGTTCATTGTCTGAACATTGCAAGTGTTTACTCCAGCCAGCCGTTTTGGGTCGTTTGCAACAGATTTTCATGCAGACATTTTTCCACACAGCAATTTTCAGTGGATTTACTGAGTCGTTTTAAATGTCAACATACCGTATTTCCCCGTCAGCGAAGACAGAATCGGGAAGAGCAAAGAGAGGAACCACAGCAGAAAATAAGAGCCGTATTTATTCCACTCAAACAACAAGAGAGAAAATGGACAATAGACTACAGAAGCATTTTATTTTGTTGAGTGTCTACCCCATATAAACCGAACCTTTATGGCCCAATTGTAAACAACAGCAATACGGAGCTGACCTTGGTCCTGAACCTGCGCCATCAGTGGTAGCGGGGCTACCTGAATTTCCTCGACTTCACACCTGAATTTCCACGCAAAATATGCAAGATCTTAATTGCGTTTTGTTATGAAAACGTGGCTTAAAAACGTGACCATGTGCCATTTCAGCCTCATGATATGATGCCATGATGGCAGCCTCATTAATTGTTTGTCAATCCATCGATTTTAAAACCAGTTCTGAAAGAGAAGGAGGGTTGGGGCGAGACAGAGTCAGAGTAAATGTTTTATACTGTATGTCTTATTCCCACAAAATTAGGAACATTGACTGACCAACTCTTACCTTACCTTACGCCTGGGGCAAACCCTCCGCCACACCGTTCTCCACACCGCCTCCCGCAGCGCCGGACTGGCCCAGATGTAGAGAGCCGGAGTGACCAGTGCGTTCATGCGTGCCATGATGGCGAACGGGTTAGTGGCTTCATTCCGAAACTTCAGGCCCTTTATCGTCAACTGTCTGACAATTATATTAACAAAGGATGGACACCATAAAGCCAAGAAGCAAATGACCACGAACAAAATGATGTGCAGCGACTCCTTTTTGTTGTCTCTCTCAACACTGGGCGCCTCACGCTCCACCTGATTCCTGGCTATGATATATAATTTAAATGTCATCAGCACTTTAGTGAGAACTATCACCTGCAGAGTCATTACACCAAACGCGTTTATTTGAGCCGCCTTTGAAATAGGAACCACGTTCTGCACCGTGACAATAGAGTATGTGTAAATCCAGCAAAGTGTACAAACCACAATGACAACAGATCTTGTTATGTAGCGACTGTAGAAGAAAGGATGGCACACTGCAAAGTAACGGTCAAACTGAGCGAAGAGGAAGGTTAACACATTGACACCTAGAAATGAGGGCAAAATGTAGTATGTTCCGTTTCTTGAGGGATAGCCCTCCTGAACGTCGAAGATGCCGAGGTAATAGACCGAGAAGCCAGTCATAGTGTCACTGATGCTCGTGTTTAGCATGAAAATAAAACGGTTCTGGCCTCGAAGAGACTGGGTAGAGGATATCCCGATGACCACCGAGCCAGCGACGAGCACGGCGCTTGTGGCGAACAGAATGTGGAAGATGAAGATGAGGAAGTCCTCCGGAGAGCTGAAATCCACCGACAGGGGGATGGTGGCATTGAGGAGCATCCTGACGGTCCACCAGAAGTTGCGCATTCATATTTATACATTATATATTGTGTCAGACCACCCCCCGAATCTCTATAGGGCAGGGCCTTCAGCACAGTCAAGTCACATGTTTTCAAGTAGAACTGTCCTGTGCTAGGCATATGGAAAGAACAATATCTGATCAAAACCCTAAATCCCAACGCTGTTTGGTAATAGGGTAAAGGTGAAAGATGGCCTCCAGTCACCTGTTTGGCGTCCTGTAGTTGCCACAACACTCACTTTGGGGCATTGAATAATATATTTTCTTTTAATCCAGGCACATTTTGATTAGGGAAGTTTTCCAAAAGGCCTGTAATTGTCAAGTAATGTGCTTTTTTGTTCTTTATCGCATTAGAATATAAGAACCTTTTCAATGTCTTATCTATCTAGGTAGATATCTTAATGAAAAAATGTTTAAAGATCACAAAACAAGCCCTATGAAATGTTATACCAGTAAATTGGCTTATTTAGTTTGAATTCACACCTCAGTTTGTAGTAAACCTCAATGTATGAAAGCTTTATCATAAATCAAATTAGTCCTTAGTGGACATCTTCATATATAAATTCTTAAAAAAAAAAAAGGTTTAGCACACATGCAGCCACAAACTACAAAGACAAAGCCTTTATGCTGTGGCCCTGAGACCCATGGGAGCCAGATGTGCAAACTTCGGGTGAAGTTTTGTGGAACCTGCAAAATTATATCATCAGTTTACTGACGATCACAAAATGGAAAAACATTAAAATTATAAACCCGAAATTGATAAACGTGTGCAGTGAGATATAATTTCGTCAAATTGTACTAGAATATTTATGCTTATTACGCAGCTTGTTGACTTGTTCATGGGAATAAATCCACCCATGTCGACGTATTCCTGTAAGCCTGACTGTGCTTTCTACATAAATCAGAGTAGAGGCAAACCCCTGAGCTGTACAGTCGCACACCTACATCACTGCCACTCTGTGCTGTGCAACAAGACCTGAACACGTTGTTGCACACACGTTTTCTCCGTGCCGATGACAAACAGCAGCCAGGGTTTGTTTCTCCTGCTGCCCTTCACAACCTTTGGCAATGTTCTGATGCTTCTTTTCAACATTTTCCTGGCTGCAGCCATCATTTTCCTCAACGTTTCTGTGTTTCTGTCCAGGAGAACCGCTTCATGTACATGCTGAGCACCTGCCTCAGTGACATCTGCACCGGCGTGTCTTATTATTATGTTAGTGTTTTCGATTCTCCTACAAGAACATTTTACATTGTACCCACATTTCTAGGGCTGTCCTTTATGGCCATCCTGGCTGCCCAGGCAGACAGGTACCACGCGGTGGCATCACCTTTTAAATACTCCCAGCGCATGACCCGACACAGGACCCTGCTGGTCATCTTTGCCTACTGGGTCTATGCTTTCCTCATCGTGGCTGTGCAACATTTGGTCACAGTCAGGGTAGCCAAAAAGATCGTGAGCGTTACGTTAGTGGCAAACGTATTCATCGGGATTATAACGATAGGGTTGAACATTAAACTGTTCGTCATAGCCAAGTTTCAGCTGGAGAGGGAGCCACCCTCTGAGGAGAGAGAGAGCAGGCGCTCATCGGTGTATCTTATCTTGGTGGTGGCTGTGTTTTTCTTGGGGACATGACTTCCTATATTCTGTCACGTTGTGGTCTGTAATTTCTTTTTGTTGGCCACGCCTACACCGCCTGGTTAGTAATTTGGCAGAATGATCATGGATATAAATAACATTGTTTCCAAATAGGGTTTAGGCAATTTTATGGTGTGAACAGTGTGTGAATGGTTTTATGCACAGGGAGGCAAGGCCCTCTTATATTTGGTTGATGTGTGATAATTGATTTGTGGTGTTTATTTAATGGTGCCTTTTAACCTGTTGACTCTGACCATTTTATTCCTGTTCTGCACTGTATTTATTGAGTGGGGGGAAACTTCTTCTTATAGGTAACATTTTAGCTTCTGGGGTTAGGCTTCTTAAAACTTTTTCACTGTTAAATTATACTTTGACTCAAAGTTTTATCTGTGTGAGTAGCTCCAACGTCTCCGTGTTTGCAGATCTATCTGGGGGTAGCAGCTCAGTACTGGGGAAGTTTGCATGAATTTGACCTCTGAAAACAGGAGGGGTGTTATTCTTGGGGAACTACTAAAAGTTACTACGGTCTGAGTTGCCTAGGCCTGTATATTGGCTCGATCACATTTGGTTCAACGTGTTATACCTTTAAGAATGAAGGCACTGACCCTCTTCTTATTTTGCCCCGAGTTAACGCTGCTCTGACTCCATTCTATACATCAGAGGCTTCACTCCGCTCAGAGCGATGCTGCTTACCAAAGTGTGGAGACCCTGCTGTGGGAGGAGGAAGCACGGCGGTGATGTCTGACCAGAGGTTGTTAGTCTCAGTGTTACCCAGAGGTTCCTTTCAGCATGGTTGGCGGTTTCACACAAATGAGCTCCTTTTTTCCCCCGAGCCCGTTCAATAAATGCTGCAGATTTTATAAATGTGTTTGTTTGATCCAAGCTCATGGACCATAAATAGGCTATCATGTATTTATGACGACATTCGGAATGCCTTTCACATGCCGCTTTTATAATTGCACCACTTTTCACGACTGTGTTTATGTCATTACGGGTTGTCACTTTGCGTGTTTGTGCTTTTGGGTGTTTGTACATATTTTCTTTATTTGATCTTGTTTGAAATTCTTCTCGCTGCCTTTTTGTCTGTCGGGAAAACATCAGGACAAATATCCAAAGTGCTGAGTTGATTTGGTAATAAATAACAGTATTGAAATTGATCCAAAAGTCCTCATTTTCTTCCTCGATCCTTCTCTTCATAAGGCCTGTGTACTCACCCACTCCCAGCGTTGATGTCAACGTCAGTGCTGCTTTAAATCCATGCCAACATGATCAAACTAATGAAAGGCTGATGAGGATTTTCCATTATGAATGCTGGAAAGGTGTTAAACGCCGAGGACAAGATTTCACTTCGAGGCTCTTCTAAGATGCTGAAATGGATCATCATTCTACACATCCATTGTTTCAATCTACACATCCATTGTTTCAATTCTTCTTCTCAAATGCAGTGAACGAATTTCATCTATGTTAAACGTTTAGTGTTTTTGTCATGAGAAATTTTGTTGCACAAAGAACCGATTGAAATTACAAATGAACACTGCAGCGAATTTTATTTTTATATTCTATAATAAAAAAAAAGCAGGTCACCAGGGGGTTCAACTGTGCTAATTTATGTAAGGCATGTCGACTTTTCTAAGTCTCAATACATTTCTTTTTGTATTCTCTTGAATGATCCTTCTTGGACAATTACATGTGAAATATGCAAAGAGCAAAATGTGCCGATGCCGCTTGTTACTGGTCTACTTGCTACTCAGCATCTTCCCATAGTCTGACCACTTTCCAGCACCTCTGTTAAGGAGACTTCTGTCCTATTAAACCTTTGTCGGTATAACTTAAAAGGGGAGATAGCTCAGTGCAGATTAATCGGCTGTATTTATTGAATTCATATATAACTTCTGGCGGGACGCACGTTAAACACGATATTTCTATTATATCCTTATGAGGTGCATCGGGTGCGTCTAAACACACTGATCATTCAACTTCACTGTCGCACTTCCCCCGCAGAGGGTGCAGTTTCTGCGGCAACCACAGAGTGTCAGAAGAGCACTTTGACACAGCGCCATAACGTTGATATGCCCGGAATGTGAACCATAATTAAGAAAGCACTGAAAATTACAGCAGCCTATCTGGATCAGCTTGTGTCTCCACATGGCCTCCAAGGGGGTAGGATAATAAAGTTTGGCCTAGCTTCAGACAGGTGTCACCATCAAAGCTAAATCTCATTAACAGAGATTAATTAAATGGTATGTTGGTGAAACGCATCCATATGGTTGTGCCCTCTTCTCTGTTGGCTGAGGTCTGGTCTGCGTCCTATAAGCTGAGAGGAGGAGCCAGTGGATCGCCACATTTCCGCTCATCTGGTGCCCAGTTTCTGAACCTCAACTCACACACCTCTCCTTTCCCCCTCTTTTTTCTTTCTCTTTCTTTTTGCTTATACCCCTAAAGAATCTGGGCCAGGACGGAAGATTCCAAATGCCTTATAAGCTAGTCCCCAAACGGACTGTAAGCTATCTCCATATCTCAACAGAAAGAAAGAAATCATGCAAACCAAATATTGTCTACATGAAAACGCAGAGGAAACGGATACACACTGACATTCTCCGAGATCTGTTATAGTACTGAGCTCAAACTTGAAATCTTACATTGCAATTATGTTAACTCCAACTGATGAACTGGTTTCAGAATAAACTGGTTTAGTCATATTTTCCATTGCAATAATTACACTGCATGTTGAAATTGCAGTGTGACCTGGCACACTCCAAAATATGCAAATTACTTAATGTGAATTTCAGCCTTTCATGTCTAAACATGATGAAGTCATACAATATTAAAACTTTATTAAAACCATAAAAGCTACGATTTTATTTCAATACAGTACAATGGCGTATTTGTTTTATTGTATTTACGTGAAACTGCGCTGGAAACCTCTCAAAGATAGTTTTCTTATTATGGAAGTAGGCCTGGGCATTACACAAAATGACTTGAGAAGTCGGGGAGTTTTGCAGTGTGAGGCCATGGCTGGGTCGTGCTACTGTGAGACGAAGGCCCGTACCGTTGTGTGAGCACAGCATCCATCTCCCCCCCCCCCCCCTCTGCCATCTTGCAGGTAAAGTTGTGAGGGATATTGGGCTGAGAAAGTGGCCAAACCCCCCCACAGTGGGATGTTTTCTCTGCTGCACTCTGGGCTGGTTTCTATTCAAATGTAGGTCAGGGGTGAGGAAGCCCTAACGTCATAAGCTTGCAACATGGCGTCCCGAAGGCTGTGAGATGAGCAAGAGGATGGTAAAGAACGCTTGAGAACGATCCTACCGATGTAATAAGGTATTTAAAAGAGATTCTTTTTCTGTGAGTTGGATTGCAAATGCGCCATGGAGCTATTTCCATGGCTGTTTTCAGCCGATCGGTTTTCTCTCGGCTGCTGCAAGGATCGCAAAGGTTTTCGGCGTCACGGTGGTGTTTTTTTCCACGGCGTGCCAACAAAAAGGGGATCCGCTGGTGTATTTTGGCTCTCCCAACCGGCTTGACAAGCCGACAAATCTCCCTTTATTTGTTCGCACTTATTGCGGCTTTTGCGCGAAACCACAAAATGAGTTTGCTAATGTTGTGACATTTATTTTGGCGCCGTGGGCTTATAAGAGATGCCCCACAGGACGAGCACAGGCTGCCAAATAATTATCAGGTTGGTAACGCACATTAGGCGACAGAAAGGCTCCACAAACGACGCGACGCAGCACTCCACAGAAATATTGTAATGCTTCTCCACGTTACCTCGTTTTCTTGCACTTAATCAATTAAACAGATTGTTGAATTATGTTTACTAAATGTTAGGTAATGACTTAATGTCTCATTTAAACCCACCGCTGTCACATAATCAAAACAAAAATAGTAGAAAATTGCACAATGTGGTAAGTGGAACTGGACTGATTCTCTTGGTGTTTTTTTTTTGTTGTTGTTTTTTTTGGGGGGGGGGCACTATTTTGCGCAATCATCTTGAAAATGCCACAGTCGATACCTGCGTTGACTGTATCTAGGTTAATCCACAGTGGTCATAGGTAGGGCTTATTATAATGATATAATGAGGCTGACTTAAGAAAACACCCAGTAGGTCTGCAGTTTAGAAGCAGCTACTTTGTGGTTTTCTAACGTTGCCTTGTAAACGTGAGTCGATGCTGGGGGATGTAGCCTGTATGTCTTCATAGCCTATAGATGTCCTGCTGCTAAACACCTACATTGTCCTGCTCAGCTAGAGTGTGGGTGTAACTTTACATTGTGATCCATTCTGTTGGGCTTTATAAAAACAGTCTTGCTTGATATTGATTTACGTATTGTCTTTCTGATAAAGCAAAAAGCCACATCAGCATCTTGAATATTTGATTATTAAACTCAGGCCAACAGCAAATCATCTGAAACAATGTATGTGCTCAGATTTGAAGGCTGGTTGTCTTAGGTGATTAATGCTTGGCACAAGATAAAGCACAGGAATGACTGACATGGTTGCTTTGGTGTGTGCTGTTTTTGTATAACCACATTTTAATCATGTTTAATCCCAATATTTGCAGTAGAGGTCAAATGTACATTGCTTAGTTTCAGCAAAGAGGTAAATGGAATTGAACTGTTATACATGCTAAGAGTTTAGGACAGTATAGTATAACTTGGTTAAAGTAAATTTACCAGTTTTTGTTTTCAGGAGCTTGATTAAAAAGGTTTGTGCCAGAAGAGGTCAGAGGTCCTCGCTTGTCCAGCAACATAGTTTTGACTGTTGTTAGGTATTTGTAGTCAGATAGAAATTGGATAGATACTTTATGTATTAGAAATGTTTAGTGGAGATAGGATGTCTAGTTAGACTGTTAAATGCTTAGGCATGCTTATGAGTTTCTACAGGGTACATCTGGTCAAGGATAACTAGAGAGGAAGGTTGATGGCTGTCAGCAGACAGGGTGTTTAATATTATTATTATGACGTGTATAACTGTAGCCTTAGCCATAATATGTTCTTATGTTTAAGTCACGACATGTACTAGAGGTCGTGAGAATGTTTTTAGTTACACACCACTTAATCAACAGACACACACACACATCGATTTGCTTCATGTTTTGACTACTGCTATGGCCAGCTGCAAAGCTGGCACCAGAGACGTCTCGGTTGATGTTTCTGTGTAGTATGGGGCTAGCCCAACCGAAGGGATATAATGTACAGGCCTGGTGGGTTCAGGGTCTTTCATCTTACATCTGCCTGCGTGCAGTTTGGAGGTGCAAGATACCTAAGCGTGTAATGTTAATTTTACCTGTGATCCTTTGAATTAATCAGCACTGTTTTGTAGTTACTTGGACTGCCTCGTCTCTCAGAGTTCGTATGGTAAAAAGTACCGGGTACAACACTGTAAAGGTTGGTTGTCCTGGTTGGCACACATGGCAGAATGGTTTTGCATGGTCTTGCAAAAGGATAATTGTGCAGACTGTTTTTGTTTTTTAATTCATCCAGCATTGAAATTTTACATAGACAGCTTGTGAGTTTTTAACCGTTTCCTATATATGTTGAAATATTTAGACTCTTGTCTTGGGAAGGCTCTGTCACAACTTTAAGGCAATATGAAGATGAATCCATCCAACCTCTTGTACCATTAAAGGCTGCAGGGTGCTGTAGTCTATAATATGAAGATTATAGGGTTATAATTTGTCTGGACACACCCACCTACAAGTGTAGCTGGTGTGCAGTTGCTCTGCCTGCTAGCCTAACATTTGGCTGAACAAGTAACTAAATCATACAATTCAACAAAACAGTTGAAAGGTCCAATATTTTCAAGGTTTAAATGCATTTTAGGTTTTGTAGACACAATGTCATTTGGTGAGGCCAGTTAATGCTGGCTTTACTGCCTTCTGCGTCTGGCTGCATCTGTAACAGCAATAAGCTTTGAAGACTAGCAATACTAAGCGTTTAGTGAGGCCATTATTTTCAAGACTATCTTTCCTAAACTTATCCAGTTAAGCAGAACGTGTAGGATCTAATAAATCACCTCAAACAAGATGTTTTGGGCCATTAAAATGACTGAGTCAAGTCAGCTCATCAGTGTGACTAGTTTTACTATGGACTACAAAGAGGAGCCTGGAAGGTAATTTGAGGTGTGTGTGTGTGTTCCTCATGATCCTCATCAGCCAGTTGGTCTTGCCTCGCCCCTTCTCAGCACAAACATAGTATCCTGTATACGTGTGCACTGTTATCATGGCCTTCCATGCCGTGTGTGGGCACCACAGTGCAGTAAGTCAGAAGAGTACATAGGCTATATGTTCTGCTGACTTGTTGGATGAGGACTTGTTGACTGCACTAGGCTATACGTACATACATGCATATATCAGAATCAGCTTTACTGGCAAGGTGTGTTGGACACATGAGGAATTTGACTGGTACAACGGCTCTCAATGCATATGTACATGTCCTTATGTAAGGCAGCAGTGGGCAAGCAAACAATATAAGGCTGAGAACAGAAGTAAGGAGGTAATGTGCAATCAAGCAAAGGAATATACGGCTCTGTTTGTTCTGTGTTGTCTGTCTGAGGGCGTTTGACTGTGAGTAGCTAAAGCACCACAGGGCAGGGTCGTTGTTGTTCTTTAAGAAGAAGAAACCGTCTGTGGAATGTAGTGCTGATAGCCAGAAGGTTACGCAGTGTGTAAAGGCTGGAGGAGGAGGGGGTGGCAGCTCTGTAAAACCATGAGCCATACAGGATCCCTCCTTACCCAACATGCCCTCTGCCCCTTAGCCTAAGCAGGAGGCACCTGGTCATTTGGGTCTGCTGCTTTTACAAAGGGTTTTATCTCACAACAGAGTTAATTCTCTCAAGACAGAGGGCACTTTATCACACCAATCATTTGTTTACTTGTTAGTGAAGTGGTTGATGGCATAGTTTTTGATGAAGTGACACAGTTGAATACAGTATATGTGGGTGGCAGCTGCAATCCAGTTTTGCTGGTAGCCTCAGTGAGTCATGTCAGTCTTTCTTTGTTTAATTTCTCCAGGGGGGCCCTTTGGATGCAACAACTGACCCACTTTGTTCATTTTGGAGTCCAACAAATCTCTCAATCTTTTATCTCCTCCTTTTTTTTTTTTTTATTAGCAATGAACTCACATTCAGATAGTCATTTGCCTAAGAAAAAAAATGTGTATCTCAAAGTATGCATAAAATTACACGGGTGTATAAGTTTTGTCACCTGAAATTGTTTAAAGATATATATCTATATCTATATATAGATATAGGTATATCTATATATAGATAGATGTATAGAGAGAGAGAGAGAGACATTTCAAAGGACTTTGGATAGCATTCAGCCCTGTCCAGTTTTTGTAATCTGATATCTTGTATTTACTGTTTTATTGTACCTTTTTAATCATGACCTTAAATTGTCCCTGCTGATAACCAGTGTTGGTTTGAGTTGAGTAGGACTTGGACACGGTTTGTAAAGCATCAGGGAGGAGTTTGAGATCCAGTTTAGGCAAACTGTATCCAGGGGCCACACAATCATAAATCAATAATAAATGTGAAGAGGGGGAATTTTGGAAAGGTTTGGGTGTGCATGCTGTTTTTGCACACATAAGACAGTACGTTTGTTTGCCTGTTACTCCCTCTAGACTTAATTTCTTTTCACTGGTGTCAGTGCCCTACCACAAGAAAATCCTGAAGTGCAACATGTGTTTTTAGACTTTTTTTAAATTGCATAAATTCATAGAGGAATAGATCCTTGGGTTCAATTTATAGGTGACAGTCTTGGCTCTTCTCCCTGTGCTGCACAGCACTGGCACATCTGAGGTGCACGGCAGCCGTTGACCCCTCCTGTGATGAAATGGACAGGGCTCTCTCTCCATTGTACTGCACCCTAGGCAGGAATTGTTTGTCTGCAACATGGATGAACTGCTCTGACAGAAAATGACTCTTAATTGGAAGGGTTCTAGCCAGACTACAGCAGGGATACTGTACTTCATGTACTTCCTCTTTCAGCCTTGCAGCACCACAGGAAGTCGCTCCTGCAGCTTTTGTGAAGACATAACTAGAATTGGATCAGCATCCAGGATGTCAGCAGATGCATCAGAGCTATACAACCATTTGCCATGGAGACATATGTGCGAGTTACAAGACAGATTCTTATTTCAAGCAAAGACCACGGCAGGTGATTTCACCCTGTGTAGTTTCTGGGTGAAGTTTTAAAAAACTGCATGCTCTGCTCTATATTGTACCTAATTAAATAGCCTTGCTTTCTATATATCAGTGGAGAAATTTCAGTTCAAGACTGCATGGCATGTTCATAAATTCAATCAAAAAAAATTTGTGTTTGAAATACTTATTTCTCTTTGAGAGATTCACTCTGCTCGGTGCTTTTATAACTTACCTAGGTAGTGCTGACTATCTGCACTAATTAGATTTATTTATTTATATTTTTACATTATGACAATAGAACTTTGTTTTTAAATGAGGAAGGGGATTAAGAAAAACACTGTAAACACGGTTGGGTTTCATCCAGAGAAACCTGATTTCTTTACAGTGCACTTGACAGGCTTGCTGAAAGTGTTATTGCTCATGTGCATGACAATGACTTCAGACAAGGGTTATATCACTGTGACAGCAGCATGGCGAGATGAAAGGACACATCATTACTGATAAATTCATCCTTATAACAACTCTAAACTCTGATTAAAACAGAAATAAGTAAGCCGGTCTCAGCAGCCAAAGAGTGGACTGTTTGTAAGACAATACCATGGTTTCCCCAGCTGCACAGCCTGCCCAATTCAAATTCTATGCAAAAAGAAAAAAAAAATCTCTACCACTAATTGATCAGTTAAAAATATGACACCTCCTGCATTTAGGTGCAGGTTTAAAGTAATCAGGTTACAGCAGTGGATCATTTTCTGCCTTTTTTTTATTTGCACCACTAGTTTATTTTGGTGTGTGCCTTGAAACATACTAACTGTGGGGGGTAAGAAGTTTGTAAAATGGTGATTAAAATTGAAATCATCAAAGATATGTTTATGACGTTTGCTCCGATACAGCATGTGACACAGGTGTAGTAACCTACTGTGTGTGTAAATGAAAAGCTCATCTGTTCTCTTTGGTTACCTCGTTGTATTGTGAGCCACCTTTTCACTCTAAGCTAAATTCAGATAATTCCTGTAACTCTGAATCCTGCATGGATAATGTTGCCCATGCAGCAGCGTGAGCCATGTTGAAATGGCTCGGAGGTGGATGCTTGGTGTTTGTGTTTCAAACTGGCTTTGTACCATCCCCCTAGCCCCTCCCCCACTCACTCTGCCCACCAGCATACTCTGTGTGTGTGAACGTGTATTCCTGCATGTATATGTCTGCGAGTGCACTGTCTTTATGAGTGTGTGCACACACTGAGGCCTTGATGGGCTAGCTTTGTCTATCTACTTAAAACAGTTTTTATCCGCACATCCATCTTTTCTTGCACAATATGACCCCATACACACTGCGTATATTGTTTAAAGGAGTCAGTGTGAAACATAACCTTTCATGAAATCCAAGGTTGAATATGTTTTTAAAATCCTGCTCAATCTTGTTTTCTGTTTGTTGTTAGCAGGTGACCTTTCTCAGTAGTAGGGAGTGTTTTGCTATTGCGCCATAGGACTTTGCCTCACCTCTGCCCTCTCTTCTGGCTCTCTACCCTCTGTTCAGGAGATTAGTGCCACAGCCCACTGCTCTCTGTCACCTTCACTGCATGAACACAGACTCTGAATGGTTTACTAACTCACTGTTTAATCCACAAACTCCTTGGAAAATGAATGCAGTGACAGAAATAAAGTGAATTCAGACCAGATCATCCAGATCTCTGGTGTAACCAGTAAATTCAAAGAAGGCTGACATTAATTCACTGCTTGGGGACACTTTGAAGCTCACTAGTTTTCAGTCCCAAATCCACACATGGATGTATTATTCTGACCATGTCTGTCAGTCTGTCTACACCTCTGTCTGCTCATCTCCTGAAACAAGTCAAGGTTGAGGCTAAGCAGTACTGTGCTGTGTTTTTAAAATGAGGTTGCCTTTCCTGGTTCATTTCTTGAAAAGGTTAACCCTGCAGGCAAGGTATGCTGATACTCTGCCTGTGCTTGAAGGGCAGCATCTGCTATAGTTTGCAGTCCATGTCCAGAGCTGCTTTTGGTTAGTATGTGGAACCATATTTATCCAGAGCAAGTCTTGTTTCTCACAGGGCTCCAGCTATCTTAACATCTCTCACCCTCCCTGCCAACCAGCCTTTGCAGATGGCTTAGAATTCCAGGGATCAAACCCTCCAGGAAGTGCTGCTCACCAACTATGTAATGCTGTACATATGAACTAGTCATCATGAATGGTGGCAACATTATTCTTTCTGTTCTAGTAGGATCATCTTTCTAATGCTCAGAAATCTCAAGACTTTACACTGTAACCATGAAGCTTTAATAAATCAGCTGCTTGATAAGGTGCTGGAAATAGTTCTGCAAACTACAAGGAGTGCTGTGCACTCAGAGAGGCCTGCACCCTCATGGTAGCTCTGTCTGCCCCCTGTGGCATTAAGCCTGCCTTCCTGGGTAGCACCATTGGAAGGGGAGCTGGGCCTACATATGTCCCAACCTAGCTGCATATAGATCAGCCGTAATCCATTAGCAGCTCCCTGGCACAGCCCAACACGGGAGGGGGCCAGGGGGAGCGGGTAGCTGTGTTGGTGATTGGGGGGGGGGAGGGATGGGGGGGGCTTTTTTTTTTCCCCTCCCAAGCTGGCTTCTCCACTTTGAGCCCAGCCCCCTTTTATGTCTGTCTGTTAGAGAAGCCTCTTGAATGCCTACAGAGGTGTGTGTGTGTGTGTGTGTTAAGACAGACCTGACTGATACATGGCTTCCTGGCTGTCATGGCGTCATAACAGAGGTCCTTGTTTCTTTAGCAGCCTCCTTCTTCATTGCTGCCTGCACAGTTGAGTGCCCCTGTAGCACATTGCGAATAACTGCAGATCTGGGTTATGCGTTCCAGAATATCTCATTGTGGGGGGGCGGGGGAGTGAATAAGAAGACCATGAGTAGAAGTGTCAAAGCAGAGGAGGCAAGCCCAGGCCTGGACCTAAGACTAATGATCACTGCAGCTGATTGTATCGGCTGGCCTGACTGTTCCAACAGAGCTGGTTTTATACATCAGCCAGCCATCTCCAGTTTGTAAATTTCACCTTGGTTCTGCACAATGTTCTCTCTCTCTCTCTCTTTCTTTTGTTTGTTTTACATTATGTTGTCCTCACCATCCAGACCTATGATTTTGCCATGTTACCACCTTCTTCAGTGACAGTTTGTGATTCTTATGTGTGTTATTCTTTCTTCAAAGACTGTATGGTGATTTGTAGGTAAATCAGTTAGATTTTAGCATCTTTCTAGATCAGATGTCACAAAATGTTTGAGAACTATTCAAAACCAAATGGATGTTGAGCTCCTTTCTAAAGACATCTGCATTGTGCACAGAAACCTCCATAGTTTAGGAGCCATGACTTCAAATGCACTGTTTCCTTTAGTTTTGAGCCTGTTGAGAGGAACAGTAAATCTTAGCCAGTGGGACTGAGAGACCTACTAATGACATAAGGTTGCGGTAGCGCTCTAATGTAGAGCTCTAAAAACCCAAACCCTTCTTCACAAGCTGGTCCAGAGTCAGTCTTTTCAAACACAAAGATTGTTTTTACTGAGTATTTAACAGATGAAGTGAAGGAGTCTATGCTTTCCTGCACCTTAGGGACAAGGCTGTCAGAAGTACAAAAGGGACCTCCATTTTGTCAGCATTATGATGATGAGTTAAACATTTGTCTGCATTACTGTGTAATCTCCTCTAATATGTATACTCTGCTCTGATCAGGGGCATTTAAGATGTATGAGTCATGGATGGATCTCGCTGCCTTAACTAAAGCACACTACTGCTGTTCCCATCGCTCCTGAGCAGTGGGTAGACTTTTTGAATTTCCTGAATTACATTTCTTTAACAATATTTGTGTTTTCAGTATCAGACTACAAATAGAGCACTGTTGTATGAAATAGGTCATCAGTTTGTAGTCGAACAGTGAATGAGATTCATCTGTCCTAATTCCATAAATGAGGGCCTCTCTGGAGGATCAGGTGATGCTGTCCTTGTTCTTGAGCCACACCCCACTCCACCCCCATCTTGTGCCTTAGTTCCTGTGTAGTTTTACCTGCTCAGGTGTCATCTAATCCCTCCCCCTGGGGCCCGCTATGCCACCGACCTCTACCTCCAGACAATGGGGCAGGGCTGACATCATCATGACCTAATGGAGAATAGAGACAGCTGAGTACCAAAGAGGGCACCCCACCGAAACTGGAGTTACTCTGGGTAGATGGGAAAGAGAAACCGAGAGGCGGCATCTTAGAAAGTGGTTGTTTTACCCGTTTTCTTCTCTGCCCCCTTTGGCCTTTGTGCCAGAACAGTGGCACTGTTTGCAATCAGAACTTGATCCATGTAGGGTTGTGGTTTGTTTAAAAAGGAAGATGAGAGGGATGGAAGGGTTCCAGTTACTAAGCTGCTGTGTGATCCTGTGGCACACTGTGCTAATAGTTGTTAGATTCCCCATGAGAGCTGAAACCTTAAATTGATGTACTCGCAGTGGGAGTCAAAACACATAGTTTAATTGGTAGATACAGTGTGCAAGCACTGTGAGTGTAATTGTTTTAAAATCCGTATTACATTTTAATCCTACTGAAGGCTGCAGTTAATTAGAAACTAATTAACACACTGCTTTTTAGCAATACAAACTCTTGTTTTGTCACCAAGCCTGTGCATGCTGCATTGACCTTTTCTCATACACTGCCAACTCGAGTGTGGAAATACTTTGTGCCCTCCTTTGAAGACCGCTAATGCATCACCATGTCTACAATGTAACACTAACATCTTCTTCTTTTTTTTTTTTTTCTTGCAGATTCAGGTGGTGCTGGTGTAGGACGAGAGAGACGGAAAGAAGGAAGGTGGAAATGGAACTGCCAAATCATGCCAAACAACTGCTGCTGCAACTCAACCAGCAGAGAGCCAAGGGCTTCCTGTGTGATGTTATCATCGTGGTGGAGAATGCGCTATTCCGTGCCCACAAGAACATTCTAGCAGCAAGCAGCATTTACTTCAAATCTTTGGTCCTCCACGATAACCTCATTAACCTTGATACAGAGATGGTTAACCCCTCTGTATTCAGACAAGTTCTGGACTTCATCTACACTGGGAAGCTCCTGTCCTCATCGGACCAGAGCAGTGAGCAGAACTTCAGTGCCCTCTTAACTGCAGCCAGCTACCTCCAGCTCCATGACCTCGCTGCTCTGTGCAGAAAGAAGCTCAAGCGCAGTGGGGGTAAACCCCTGCCGGGTAAACCCTCCACTACAGGTCCCATTAGCCGCTTGCGCCTCAACAACCAGCAACTCTCCTCTTCTACCCCTGTCGGCGCCAACAACCACTATCCTCCAACCCCTTCTGATGCCGACCAGCCACAGCCAGATGAAGGCCTTCGGGACAAACTCTCTGACGACGAGATGTTTATTGGCAGCTCTGGGAAGAATGGAAATGGGGCTAATGGCAACAGTAATGGTAACATCAGTAGCGGAGGTAGTGCTGGGGAGCCAGACCTTGGATTAGACCTCTCCAAGAAGAGCCCTCCTTCTGCCGGCACAGCCACCGATGCGCTCAGCCCACACAGCAACTCCCAAGGATCCCCCCAGTCTGCCTCAGTATCCACAACCAACAGTGCCTCACTGGATGATTCCTCTGTTACCCTTCCAGGGGTAGATACCTGTGGCTCAGAGACCATGGAGCTTAACTGTCTGTCTAAAAGCTCAGAGGAACCCCAAAACCAGCCTGATGGCCCACCACCCCAGAAGAAGTCCCGACAGGGTAATCGCAAGAATGAATGGCCTAAAAGAGAGGCATCAGGATTGAAGTCTGAAGAGCATGACAAGCCCTTGGTTAACGGGGTAATTGTGGGTCCTAAAGACGGCCGCTCCTCTGGGGTTGGAGGGGGCAGTGGTAGCAGCTTAGCCTCTGACCAGTCCTTCCAGTGTAAAGATGAGGAGGAAGGAGGAGAGAATGGCCAGGACCACAGTGATGAGAGCGGTCAAAGTGATGGAGATAGTGCAGGTGGAGGAACAGGAGGGGGACACCACAGCGCCAACTACGTGTACAGGCAGGAAGGCTTTGAGCCAGCATTTGGAGACAACCTCTATGTGTGCATTCCCTGTGGTAAGGGCTTCCCCAGCTCTGAGCAGCTCAATGCTCACGTGGAAACGCACACTGAGGATGAGCTCTACATCAAAGAGGAGGGTGGGACCTTTGTGAAAGAGGAAGATGAAGAAGAGGCAGAGGACCTCTCTGCCCCAGTAGGTCCTTCCAGCTTTGGCTCAGAAACACGTCCATTTAAGTGTACAGTCTGCAGTAAGAGCTACAAAGACCCAGCAACGCTGAGACAACATGAAAAGAGCCACTGGCTGACCAGGCCCTTCCCCTGTAACATCTGTGGCAAAATGTTCACCCAGAGGGGCACCATGACACGCCACATGCGCAGCCACCTTGGCCTCAAACCGTTTGCATGTGAAGAGTGTGGCATGCGCTTCACGCGTCAGTACCGTCTGACAGAGCACATGCGTGTCCACTCTGGGGAGAAGCCGTATGAATGCCAACTATGCGGGGGGAAGTTTACCCAGCAGCGCAACCTCATCAGTCACCTGAGAATGCACACCTCACCCTCTTAGAAATGCATCAAGCCAAAGAACTCTGGGATTAAAAAAAAGAAACATTTCTTTACCTTTTTTTCCATCTCAAAAGCAAAGAAACGCACATGTACACGTTCACATGCAGACACACCTATGTCTACATATTAATTCCAGTTTAAGATGCCCAGGCTAAGTGAATGATGTAGCTGTTAGCCACAGTGGGCTCTTGGTGATGGTGGGATCTTGTTGATGCAAGGGTCATGTCATCGTTTATATCAAGTGACGTCTGCTCACCTCTCAGGAGTTCTAGAGGGACAGTTGACTCCTGTCTCTCTCCAAAGTCACGAAGCCATGGTGGAGTGGCACGACTTTTGGTCTGCATTGTTACAATTGCAAGTCTGTCAAATGTGAATGTGGGTATTGATAATGTCAAGGCCCCTCAACTCATACCCCTCAACAACCTTCCTCTTGTCTACCTTTGGCCATTGAGTCTTTGAGTTTGTCACATTGTTCCTCAAACAGATTAACTCCAGAGTCCCCTCTGTACTCCAATGCTATTTTGACCAAAAACACATGCAAACCATACTGGCAATAATTCTGCAAAAATATTATTTTTACCCTGACAGCTTTATGTCCTTTTATGTTGGTGATGGGGATCTGTATGTGAGAGGAGGGGTAACTGGGTTTGGGACCATCTCCCTGCTTTAACTGAAAGTCCTGACAAAAGCTTCATGGTGGGATTACATTGGATTAAGTTTAGGTTTTTACATGAACAATTTTCAAAGCCCTCTCTACAGCTGTTTACAGTAGTATTGAGAGGATTTTCATTGTTTTTGCTTTTGCCTGCTAGTGCACCCAGGAATGAGTCCTGATTGGAAAGATGAACCCCTTGAGGTACTTGTTTTACTTAAAGAACTTGTAGTATTTCAGTGAATGTTTAAACTGGAAGGTTTGGGGATTTTTCTTGTAGAGGGGAGGGATTTTGGGTTGGGATGGGGGAGTAGTTTAATGAGGGTAAGAAGAGGGTGTTTTAGATTGAACATTAAGTTCAGTGGGTACATTTATTTTTTGTCTGTATAGCTTTCCCCCTCAGAAAAAAAAGAAAAGTCTATTTATATAGGCTTGTGACCTCGCTACCTCTGATTACTCTTACGAACTCTGTTGATTAGTTGAAAGTTCCTATGTAATTAATTGTAAAAAGTGTGTAGATTATGGTAACTTTTCACCTAATGCTTTAACCTGCCCATCTCTCAACACAGGTTTTTAATGCTCATAGATTTTAAACATTAATATTGTTTTTAGCTGTTGTTTTTACTTGTCAGATATAGCTTTTTGGGTGCTCGGCGCAGTGTGGCCCCACCTCACAATGTACTGTAGCTTCCTGCCTGGAGCAAATAGCCGTTAGTTAGTTTAGTGGTTAGTTGGTTAGTTAGTTAGTTTAGATGTATAGTGTTCCAAAGATCTTATGAATGTTGAGGAGAACAGAGCTAACTAACAAACGTTGCTAGACAAGTTCATAACCAAAGTTTTTAAAAAGATGTACTTAAGATATATAGCATACTAAATTATTTCACTTTTGATTTCTTTTTGCTGTATAAAACAGATTATGAATTATATTCTAAGTCCAGACAAAGAAATCCGCTCCTTTGATGGAGTTTTGGCCAATGACTCTGAGGCTGAGGAAGGTTCTCATGGTGTGCAAGGAAAGCTTGTGCTGATTGGTGGGCTGGTAAATTGTCGACTTTACCGCCTAACAAAACCGGTAAAGTTTAAAAGCATGTTCCCTGAACATGTTTATTTTCTTTTTGTTTGTATCCAGAGTCCTTATCACTTTATATTCCCTGATTTTACTGACAGGACTTTGACATTGTTTGTGTTCTATTCAGACCAAAAAAAAAAGGAAAAAAAAGATAGGGATTATAATCAGATTTTTAATGTGAAGGTCCAGTTGTTTGTTAGTTTTTTGAGCCAGAATTATGAAAACTTGTAATAAGAAGGGAGAAGCAGAGGTACACTGGACAGCTGGACAACTTTGTCTCCTGCAGCATCTGTGTGTTTCTGATTGTATGTCATTATACCATAAAATGATTTCAAATGATTTTAAACCTCTCAAGCTTTACCTCATCATAAGCAACAATAAGTCGGGAATGGCCCCTCTGTCCAGTGTATCTGCTCTTAACAGTTGCACTGTGGAACATGAACCTTCACTACAAGTTTTTGGTAAAGGCATTCCTCTGTTATGTTGGGTTAGCTGTCTTCTTAACTTCTTTTTTTAATTCCTCTTTCATCCTCATATTATGGTCTGTGAAATGTTTGTTGTAATGGGGATGGAGCTGCAGTTACACGAACATCGCTACCGTTTTAAGGTACTAGCAACTTGGACTCCTGCAGTTGTTACTTGTTAGTGATGGATGTTGGTGTCTTTCTGTTGAATGATTACATGGTACATCAATGAGTTTTTCACACTCCCCCCAAACACAAATATGTTATTTATTACCTGATCCATTGTTGCTTGTGACCTCTTCCAGCTTAAGAGGGAGTCCACAATGCATTGCCTTCAAACGTTATTGTACTTGTCAGCACTTACTGCAGTACAGCATAACGTCCTGTCCTGCAAAAGGTGTTTTTGTACATCTCTAGCCATCTCTGCAGAAGACTTCGCAGCTGCATTTGAATGCTTGCTTGTTTAACATAAAAAAAAAACAAAAAAAACTATGAACTCCAAACTGTGACCATACTACTACTATTATTACTACTACTACTAGTACTACTACTATTCAAATACTTCAGGGATTGTTCTGCATCTGTGAATGCAGACCCTCAGCTACATTTGTAAGACATAGTATTGTATCATTTTCTCTGTATTTTAATCATGGGAAAAGCAAAACACTAGTTTCATATTGATGACAAACGGGGGTACTTTTTTCAACTAACACAAAGAGCCTTGACAAAGGCGAGGCAGCTCGAAACAAGTCTGCATTTTAGTTAGTAACACACTATGTTCAGAAATAGTTGCAAAGTTGTACAAAGAACTAAGAAGAAAAAAAAAAGCTCATACCCAAATCCACAAACTATTTTTTAAACCAAAGCACATTTGAATGATTATGAAACCATGTGTGGCTCTAAAAAGAAACGTATGTATTTATCTCATTGTTTACATAAACTTTTACAGTTTTACAGACCTCAGTCGAGGCTCGGTCAGTCGGGGGGTGATTTGTGTGTATTTTTATTTTTAGAAGATGCTTTTCCACAGAGGTTGCTGCCAAAATAAAAGCATAGCATCGAACATGAGGTAGACTGTTGCATATTCAATTAAAGGGAGGGCTGTGTGGTTTAGGGATAAACCCCCCTGCTGCCAGCTGGCTTTGGGGTGACCTTGCGCCCCAGTCCCCTTGCCCTCTGGCCTGTCATCAGATGGGGCCACAGCCATGGGGGTGCGCAGTGCGTCCTTGACGTATTAATCAAAAGGCATTGTTAGTCAGGGTCTTTAGCTCAGTGTTGTCTCTGTTTACCTAAATGCACTTGAGGACTACCTCTGGTGCTTGGGTCTGTTAATATGTAGGAGCGGGTGAGTGAAGCTTGAATGTTTGCGTTGTTTTAGTGATATGGTACATCACATAGGCTGGCAGTCCTAGAAGATGCTTTTTCTGGAGAATGTAGCATTAATTTGTTAACTGCATGTAAACAGGCATATCTGGTAATTTTAACTGTGAATGTTATTGTTCTTTTTCTGTTTGTGTGATGTTTTGAAACCTTTTTTTTTTTTAAGCTTCCTATGTTCTGTGGGTAAAAGCAGCATAAACCTCTGATTGGCCGGGCCTCATACAAAGTTGGTGCAAACACTTATTGACACCGTTCTTTCTTCCTTCCTTTCTTTTTCTTTTTTTTTATTTTTTTTATCAAATGTCTATTGTCTGATGAATGTATTTATTTCTGGTCCTGCCCTCACCTCTGCAAAGAATTTTCTCAATGTGTGAGACTGAAGTGGGGGCAGGACCCCCTTTTATTTTAGTTTTTGTTGTAAGGGTTTCAAGCTGAGAAACAAAATAAGACACAAAACAATCAGTAAACCAAAGTCTTGTAAGGGGTTTTTTTTTTTTTTTTTTTTTTTTTGTGGGAGAAGTGATCCCACCCCCAATTCAAAGAAAATGGTCTATGGCATTTAATACCTTCTTTCTCAGTTATACCTGATTGTCTGTAAGGTTTTTAGTTAATGTAATTCACTGGGTGGTTTTTCTTTTTTGCCCGTGTGCTCTTGGGTTCTCACTGAATGACTGCACACTAGGGGAGCTGAACTTTAACCCCTTGTGTGTGTCTGTGGGCACAGGCAGGACACTGTGACCTGTCTGTGCAGCATGGAGGCTACTGTATCTTGCTCTCCCTGGGTGTTGCCATTCTGCTACCTTTAAAACAAAATATTCACACATATTCAACACTTCACCCCACTGAACTTTAGTATTCTAGTGACTATTGTCGCATTTCTCATCTAAAAACACTTCTTCCATCTTTTATACATGACATTTGTTTTTAGTATCGATTAGTTCCACAGCAAAGGAATTTTTAAAACTGGATAAGATAGCTTTACTAAGTGCACTTTGTATGGTTTTTTTTTTTTTTTTTTTTTTTCTTCTCAAAGCTTCTGGGGAAAGTCCAGGCGCTCTCATATCGGTTTCCATTTAACTGACGGTTTACTCTTTGTCTTTCTCTTCTTACCTCATAATTGTTGCTGTGTGTTTGAAATATCATATCATTATGCAGTGTTACAAAAGCTTTAAAAATGAATTTATAAAGCAGGAAACTCAACCGAGAGTCTATATTCGGCTTTAAGTGTTCAAGTTTCCATCTCATTTCTTGGTGGTGTTGTTACTATTACCATCCTCTCCAGCCATTTCTATAATAGAGGGGCTGGTCTGTCCAGTTATTATCTAGATGCTCCTCCTTACCTCGGCAAACTAAACCAAAGCCAGTTTTAAAATGGACTCCAGTGCCATTAAACCTTGTCTAAGCTTTACTGTCCCTTGCTTTATCTCAAATACACCTGACCCTCTGTAGTCTGCTACTGCACAAGCGACTGTATCCTTCGCTCTGTTGCATTTTACATTTCATATCCGTATCTCCAGTGACATTGTGCAGTAGTGATGAGAACACAAAACGCCACATTACCTCAAACTTTTTGGTGTTTACATAGATGTGCTCTTGCCATTACACCACATCTCATTTATACTTTTTCGCCGTCCATCTGTAGCCAGTATATTATTTTTGAAATGGACTTTGTAGCAGCATATTTTTGTGCATAACTTTAATTTGCTTCTGTTTGATTTTTTACAAAGGCACGATGTCACCTTGATCTACACTACATTACTAGAGAGATGATTAGCTGCTAAATAATAGTATTTGAGTTGAGTGATTGATGGAGCTTCCTATGAAGTGGGTGTATCAAGCTTCCTCTCTGTCCATTTGCTTCAGGAACAGCTTCTCAATGATGTATCTGGATCTGTAGGCTGAGAAGCTTTGGAACGGATGTATAGGGTCTTGATGAATAATTAAAGAACAAGACGCCACGACCACCGCCCCATCCATGGCAAGCACACTTCACATGCTAACATGTACACACCCAGGTGCACTTTGCTAGCATGTCAGCACATACACCTTCACTCACGCAAACACACATGTCACCGTCCAGACTTCAAACGTAACATGCACACACCAGAATTTAAGTTAAGATTATGTGACCCACTTTTTTTTATGGCTTTTGGCAGCACCCAGGCTGGGTTGTCTCTTTATCGCCACTCCTAGGAGAGCTCGTATTCAGGTCAGAGCCACCGCCGTGCATAGCGATGGGGCTTACAAACTTAAAGTGTCATAAAAGTGTAATACAGCTGACCTCAGCACTCACAACCTTGCAGTCTTAATGTACAGCAGTGAGGAAAATAAAAAAAACTGTTATTTTATGATCTTTTCATTAAAAGCTTGATTGAAAACCATGACTCTTTGACTCGTCTTTATTTTCTGTTCCTCTCTTCATTCACATCAGATGCTGTCATTGTGTTTATGTAAGTGATCGTGTCCATAGATAACATCTAATGTCTCCCACCTCTCAGATCAAATGTTTGTTTCATTTCAGGTGTTACACTTTGCAGTTTGCCCCAGGTTAATTTTGCTTAAGTGATGCATGTAATTTGATGGTATGCATGTTCATTCCTGTAAATGAAAACCTGTTCTTCCATGGAAATTAGTCCTTTTCTATGACTATTAGTAATTGCTAGTATCCAGTTGCTTTGTAGTTGAGATTAACAGTCTTTGCTACCTCAGTTGCTTTTGCACAAGTCACACACACTGCAGAAATCTGTTACATGGCAACTGGCATGTCAAATAAATCTTAATGAAAAAGGTGGCGAGACTCAGGTTTCTGCAAGTGGTCACCATCACTAATGCAGACTGCGAGGAATTTACAGCGAATATGCTATTAATAGGATAAACTTAAAAAAAAAACAGCCATTTAAACAACAGTTCATCATTTGGGGAAATGTGGTTGCAGTATTTGCTCTCTTGCTGAGAGTGACATGAGAAGATCATTATCACCTTCATGCTTGTACAGTGAATGCGCTGGACAGCCCAAGCTGGAGTCAGCTAATGATCTGCCAACCAGCATCTGTAAAGCTCATGTTGTATGTCATTTCCAAACAGCTGAAATATAATGACAACTTCAGGTTTTATGGGATTTCATGGACCAGACTAGGTAGTCGCCCATCACTTGCTCACCTTGCCTGCAGTTTTTATGCTTGGCTAAGCCAACCATCTCCTGACTGTAGCTTTAATGGGCAGATATAAAAGTGGTATTGGTCTTCTCATCTCAAACTGCATTTCCTGAAATGCTGAGATATTTTTTGAAGATGAA